AGCGCAGCTGCTTTGCATGGCCCAGAAGAGTGCTGCGCGACAGCTACTAAAGCGACTGGGGTCATGCAGGCTTGCAGTAGGCGAGTTAGAATGCCAATACACCTGTGCAAAGTGCGTGTTTGGCACATGCGTACATGCAAAGTGTATGCACGTACACAAAGCATGCCCACCAAGCCACACCAAACCGGTGGCAACAATATTTGAATCCCTCTACTGAATAAGGCAAAAGTTATAGTGAACAAAGATAGATGAAGGAATATAGATAAATGTACAGATAATTAAGATTTATGTAAAAGTATGTATACTGTCACGGAAGCATTGCAATGAATGGAAATGATGTTGGATATAAGAAAAATTGTTTAATTTTTTTTTAAAATCCATATGTTGCAAAAAAAATAGTCCCTAGCCATTAAAGGTTATGGGAGATAACAGATCTATTTTAACTTTGATCAAATAAACCAAGTTTATATTTTAAAAAAAGAAAAGAAAAAGAAAAATTTGAATGGGAAAATCCTTTGATTTAAAAAGGATAGGGCTTTTTAAATCAAAGACTGCAGTCCTATGTATTTTTATTCAGCATACAAACATTTACAGTACAACATTTCAGTTGGGCCTTCTGCTAAGCGACAGTGATAGCAATTCATAGCATATCAGACCCTAGCTCAAACATACAACTGCTGCTTGTTATCTGCATAATGATGGAGAATTACAAGATTCAGTGCATATATATTCTGAGAACTGCAGGGACTTGTGCAAGATGTGTCTGAAAATCAGACAAAATTGAACAGGAGGGGGAAAAAAGGATTGGTATGTTTGTTTTCTAAATCCCCAATCTAGCAAGTTAACATCATTTGAATAAATTACATACTCAGTTTGCTTTCAATCTGTTTATTACTTCTACAACTGAAAACAGACTGTAATGAAAACAATAACTGAATTATTGTTATGTATTTTGAAGGAATTCTTTAGAATATAGGACATAAAGAGAAATTAAATTATGTCATTGCTTGAATAGTAGCAGAATGAAAATACTTGAATTTTATGAGTATTAAGAATGAGATATTTTTAGCAAGCATCTGTCTCATCCCTTCTTTTTCTCCTTCTCTTTGTTGAATGAAGGAGGGAAAACTGAAAATGAGAACATTCTGTTCCCAAGAATATCTCCATGCCCACTATTTGAGCACTTAAATGCTCTAAAATCTCCTGAATGGAGGGAACAAGCTAGCCAATAAAAGGGATATGAATTATTTAGTATCTGGGAGAGATTCTGCCAGAAGAAACACTATGTGCTTAAAGTGGCTAAGCTTTTGATAAACTTAAACACACTATCTCATGTTTAAAAGGATATAGAAAAACAAAGAATTTAAAACAAAGACAATATCTAGTTGGCTCAATACATTCCCAACAAACCAGTGGAGTGGAAAGAAGAAGTCTTTAACCAAGGGTGGGATTCATTTTTTTTAACAACCAGTTCTGTGGGCGTGGCTTAGTTGGTGGGTGTGGCTTGGTGGTCATGTGACTGGGTGGGCATGGCCAAGTCAACATCACTCATGTCAAGGGGCGCTTCTCCTCACCTGGCCTCTCATGACAGTGGGGATGCTGCAACTGTCATAAATGTGAAAAATGGTCATAAATCATTTTTTTCAGTGCCATTGTAACTTTGGTCACTAATGAACTCTTGTAAGTCAAGAATACAAAAATACAAAAAGCTTCTTTGCTTGCAAAAAGCTGCCCTAAATACCAATCATTAGAATAAAAATATCTGCAAGCCAGAGTTACAAATCAGGCAGGGTGCCAGAGCGCCTTGAGGAATGAAAATAGTTAAAATGCAGTGATAACTATCAAGCAGCCATCTCTTGCTCCTAAAGTGAAACCCTTTAGCAGAGAGGTCATTTAAGCTCTCCAGAAAAAGCACACCCAGGAAAAGCAATCCTTAGATCCATTTGCACCACTTACAGATACCAGCTGGTCTCACTCACCTCACAAGATATCCTAAGTAAATCATCCAGATTTAAGGAAAGGTCACATGCCCCCCCAGAAAGGCAGCAAAAAAAATCAGTGCTAAGAGATAGGAAATACTAGTGTGGCAAATTTGCTTGCAAGCAAACCTATAAAATTAACTCACAACACACCATCCATGTAAATATTCATTTTTTTATTTTAAAAAAGAGCAACTTTTACCCAAAATCAGGCAAAGTAGGCGGGCAGATTGAGTTGCTCACAGAATCATTCAGTGATCTATCTATCTGCCATCGGCTAGCTCAGTCTCTCAAATTTGCTTGCCATGAGTCTGCACTGAATTTGCTTGCAAGCAAACCTTCAGTCCTAAGGGAGGTTCAGCTGTGCTTAAAAGCAGAGCCTAAGATCTAAAGACTAGCTAGATAGCAAGAAATCCAACCATTTCCTGCTTCCTAGCTAATCTAAGTCTCCCAACACAGCAGAACAGATGATGGTCGGAAAAAGGAAAAATAGAAATTTAGCAGGCAACTTTACCAGGTAAGGAGTGAGTGGGCGGGGAGGGTTCCCACAAGCCTTGTGGGCGGCGCAGCCTTGTGTTTCTGTGCAGCCTGGATTAATTGCTTTTGGGGGGGTGCTCTGGGGGTGAGATTTCTTTGCGGCCCACCAAAATTTTCTCATGGCCCACCAGTGGGCCACGGCCCACCGGTTGGCAACCGCTGGACTAGAAGAACCCTGAGGTCCCTTTCAGACATATGATTCTATGTTCTACATCAGTGATGGCTAACCTTTTTGCATGCTGAAAGTGTGTGTGCACGAGCATGCGTGCACATGCTTGCATGCCTGCACTCATGATGCAAAGCGCACGCACCCCCCCATGCAGGCATGTATAACCCCGTGTGCGCACAGCACGTGACCCATGTCACACGCCTCTGCGCATGTGCATGACCCCCTTGTTCCCTGCCTCTTGCGCATGTGCATGCATCTCCCACACACGCGTCTCCCCCGTGCATGCGCAGCAGATATTTGACAATCAGCTGGCTGGTGGGGGGGGTGCGCATGTGCAGTGGGGCTCTTCCGGGCGACCTCTTGCGTGCTGGCAGAAATGGCTCTGTGTGCCACTTCCAGCATGTGTGTCATAGGTTCCCCGTCACGGTTCTATATAATACCATATATAGTACTTTCAGAGATTTATTAAATGTGATCAATATTTAGAATAATGGATTTAAGGATTTGTTATTCTCATAAATATAACAAGGAAAGTGGCATTTTGTTTAAAATGTTAACTATATCAAGCTTCTTCTTTTTTTTTTTTTTTTTTTTGCTGGAAATTCCCCCTTCCCCAATTTTGAGATAACCCATTTTTCATAGAAGACCAGACAGTGGCAAGATTTCTCAGAATAATGAGGAACCTAGGTGCCATACATTTGATGTGGCAACTGGAGAGAGATACGGATTTGCAGAAATCTGGTTCCTAAGAAACCTTCTCCATTCCACCATACTTGTGTCCAGAATGATTTTATCCAATGTTACAAATGAATTCATCAATGAATTAATCAATTGCTTATTATGGAGGCAAGGTTAACCCAGGGCATTTTGCAGTCCAAAGTATAAGCAGCAAATGTTTGGCTGTAAAAAAAATGTGAATTACAATAATAATTTTTTGCATCCTTTCCTTGAGCTCAGGATCAGCTGCTTTCCTCTGCCTAATTATAGGATTTGTTTTTCTCTCAACTGAAGGCCCACTGCAACCATTGTAGGGCTGGCAGAGCAAGAGTAAACAGCTGGTCTTAATTCACTGATTTGTGTTTGTCATTCAAAGCAGCAAAGCTTGGGAAGCATCATCTGCTGAAGGGATGGCTCTGAATACTTCCAAATTGAATTTTATTTCCCTCTTGATATGGGGAAACCAATTACTGTTGTTTCAAGGAAAATATCTTCTTGTCTTAAAAAGAAAGAAAAATAAGAGTGGGCAGAGAGGAATGACATAAGTGGACGACATCAGCGTTATGCACTGTGATGATCTTTGCTATTTATTATTCAATATATATAAAATGATGGATAATTGATTTGACGTGCTTTTCATTTCCAGTTAATAAAAATGTGGAATGCACACCTGCCCACTAAAAAGATCAGAAGGAATGGAAGTTTTGCATTTTGATGTCTTTGCATAAATATATTTTTTCTTTCTTCGATGTAGTCATTTGCAACTTGCTATGTCTGAGGAGTCCTTAGTGCTCTCTTGCTTGTTTTCTTGTTTCATTACCCAAACTAGATGATATAATCAGTGCGCCAGCACTGATTGTATTAACTAGTTTGGGTAATGAAACGTCTGCAAGAAAACAAGCAAGCTCGCAGAGCACCAAGCATCCCGTATGTCAACCCTTGAGCTACTAATATCCTCCCTTATTAGTATCTTCCATCTGCTTGACCACAAACATTGAACATAAGCGAAAGAGGACATACAAGAGGATGCATCTGAGCCAAGCCTGACTTTTAAGCCCCACTTTCCTAGTATTTTTAGCTTTTTACATCCCCCTTTTGGTTGGCCTACTTCCATCTGTACCCTACGCGGAAAGCTGTGTGTTTTTACTCGGAGGAGGATCTGTATATCCTTCGTTTGGCTCATTAGGCTAGCCCCCTCACGCAGGATTATTATGCTCTGCCCGAAAATCCAAAGGCGGCGGGCCATTATTTTCGCCAACACGAAGAAGCTTCGTCGTTCAATTCTCCCTTCCCGTCACGATTGCCAAAATCCCTCCAGCGTTCCCAAGTCCCACCAAACCACTTGTAGACGCCTGTGGGGCGAAGGGTGCGCGCGCGGGGGGGGGAGGAGCGGGCAGGGAGAGAATTCGCGCGGCAGGGAACGAAGCGCAGAACGCGGCCTCTCCCTAGCGGTGCCAGGCGGGCAGCCGTCCCCGGTTCACGCCGCAGCGCGTCTCATGGGCGGCCTCGTCATGGAGTCTGCGGCCCCGTGAAGAGGAGGAGCAGGAGGGAGGTGGCACGGCTGGCCTCAGCTCAGCCCTTCCAAAGAGAGAGAGAGAGAGAGAGGGCCTGGTTTAGCCAGCCTTCGCCGCTCCGAGGGCGCGCGGACGAGTTCTTGCGGTTCGCGCCGAAGCCCTCCCAAGCGCCGCGGCCGCTCGGTTTCCTTCGCAGGTGAGGGGGGAACGTGGGGAGGCCTGAGGGCGAGGTGCCCGATAGCTTTCCTTGCAAACCGGGAGAAGGGCGGGCGACCGCGGCTTCGGGGATATAGAGATATGATAGATAGATAGATAGATAGATAGATAGATAGATAGATAGATAGATAGATAGATAGATAGATAGATAGATAGATAGATAGATAGATAGATAGATAGATGATACATACATACATACACACATACATACACCTGGTCCCACATGTGTGTGTGTGTGTATACACACACACGCGTGGGACCAGGTGTGGGTGGCAGTTTGCTGAGAAGACGCTGGCTTTTTTGGGTAGGTGGGTGGCAGGGAGGCGACATCCAGCGCCGTCGTTGTGAATGCCTTTACCGGGCGGGAAGAACATGTTCCGTGTGTGTGTGTGTGTTGCTACACCGGCCCTCAACGGATACTATGGAAATGGTGGCAGGTTCCGTGCGTAATCGAGGCGGAGAAGGCGAGCGAGGTTGCCAGGCGTCGAGGCTGTTTTCATCTTTGGCGCTCGTGTCCAGCATTGCTTGAGGAGCGAGTCGGTGTGGTTAGTTCACGCCAAGGTGCCGCTGGCGCCGGTTCCGTGTTGAACCCTTGGCCGGCTGAGGGAGCCTGGCCGTCTGGGTTTGGAGAACTGTCTGGGACGCGGTAGAATCGAGCGGTTAGTGTTTATGGTCTTTTCTCTGTAAAATTGCGTAGCAAAGCGAACAGAGGAGGATATTATCAGAAGATGCATGCAGACTAGAAGTAAGTACACGCAGTCCTTGAACTTACCAGGACAAGTGAGTCCCAAAATTATGTTGTTAAGTGAAACATTGGTTAAGTGATTTTTTTCACCCCGTTTTACGACCTCGCTTGTCACCATTGTTAAGTGAATCACTGCACTTGGTAAGTTAGTAACCCGGTTGTTAAGCGAATCTGACTGCCCCGTTGGCTTTGCTTGTCAGGAGGTGATGACATAACTTTGGGATGCAGCAATGGTCGTAAGTATGAACCAGTGACCAAGCATCTGAATTTTGATCACATGATCATCGGGATGCTTACAAAGGTCGTAAGTGGGAAAGATGATCGTAAGTCCCTTTTTTCAGTGCCGTTGTAACTTTGAATGGTCACTAAATGAACTGTTGTAAGTTGTGGACTATCTGTAGCTGAGATCACTAGGGAATTTTAATGTACAGGTAGTCCTCGACTTGCAACAGTTCATTTAGTTGACCATTCAGAGTTACAGCGGCACTGGAAAAAGGGATTTAACACTGTTTTTCACACTTGCGACCATTGCGGCTTCCCCATGGTCATATATTTGGCAACCAATTCATATTTATGACCGGTTGTGGTGTCCGGGGGTCATGTGATCACCTTTTGCGAACTTCTGACAAGCAAAGTCAATGAAGAAATCAGATTCACTTTTAACAACCATGTTATTAACTGAACAACTGCAGTGATTCACTGAACTGACAGGAAAGGTCATAAAATGGGGCAAAGTCAGTTAACAAATGTCTCATTTAGCAGCAGAAATTTTGGCCTCAATTGTTGTGAGTTGAGGACTATCTGCATTTATAGGAATTGCCTTTTTTAAATCCTTTATTGAACTTTAATTACATAAAAAACATAAAAAAGCAAGAAAAAGAAAAAAAAATATCACTCAACAACAGCAATTTGTAGTGATTCTCTTATGACAATAATTCGTGCATTATTTACAGATATGCATAATTACATTCTTATTTTATCTATTACTTATGTTTAATAACTATCTATCTTTAATCTATCTCCATTCTATCCAGTTATACCATTGTTCCCACACCTTATATAATATCGATGTGCCTTTATCTTTTAAGCTCAACGTTAATTTGTCCATTTCTGCGCAGTTCATAACTTTTTGTATAACAAGTTTCTCTGAGGGTATGCATGGCTGTTTCCAACATTGAGCTAAGGCAATCCTGGCAGCAGTTAATATGTGTACATATTTTGTACTCTTTACATATTTTTTTGAAGATCCCCAATAGGAAGAGTTCCGGTTCTAGATCTAATTGTTCATTTATACTATTGTTTAATTGTTATGTGCCATTCTTGGCTAAAACCCATAGAGGCAGAGCCTGAATCCTCAATCTGGTCCATGTTGTGTAAGGCCCTCCTGTAGCTTTATCAACCTTGATTAGGTTTAAAAAACAGAGAAAGAATTGCAGTCAGTACTCCATATGGAAATGTTTGCTGTTTGCCATCCCTCATTCCCTCATTTGATGAATAGTATATGCAATTTTAAACATGAAAAGATTTTATGCCCACTGCTTTTAAATATATGCTTTTAGTGGATTTGTATAATACTGTTGGGTGATTTAGAAATGTGACTATTGCTCTGTTGTGGACAGTTCTACTACAGCTATTAACTGCTCAGAACATGTGGAAAGACAGAATTACTTGTGGTTCAGCGCTGATTCATTATTTTGTTTATTCAGCATTTGGCAACTTTAGTAAGAGAACTAAGTTTGCTTTTAAATATGATTTATTCCTGCAAGGAAGAGAGTTTGTCTGTGGAATGTTTTGGGTTTTTTGCAGTGAAATTGTTAAATGTAAGCCTACATATTCAGGAAATATGTGTCCTTGAAATGATTTGAAAGAAAACATGGGAAGCACTGATACATAAAAACGTTTTTTATCCATGAAGCTGAATTAGAGCAGGTAGAGGGTTTTTTTCTCCAGGTATTTGAAATTCATAAAATCCTATTAATGTCAAGTACGATATTTATAATATGGTATATAGCCTGTTGCATGCAGAAGGAAACATGTCTGTGAAAATGCAAAGGCAGCGGTGATCCAATGCATAAAAGAGTGAGCCGATTGAAGGCAGTGACATTTTTAAACATTTGCTCCAATAGTTAAAATTATCTCTTACAATCATATTAATATTAAGGGAGGGTGTCCTTAGTGCTCTCTGAGCTTGGTTGGGTGTTGTTGTTTTTTTTTTGCAGTCATTTCATTAGCCATTACTCGTACTGATGATGTTATTTAGTCTGGGTATTGGAAGGTCTGCAAGAAAACAATCAAGGATCAAGGACCAGAATGAGAGAACTTTCCATGGTCAACTCACCATGGCACAACTTCACAACCAACTCACCAAGGGACAACTTGCTGAGGGACAATTCAGCCAACTCAATTTAAATAATAATAAAAAAATTAATTTTTGTCATTCACGTTTCATTTTGTCCCTCCTTTTGCATTCTTTTTTTTTAATGATTCTATTCCACCATTTCTTTCATATTAGTGTAAGTCTTGTTCCGCAGTGAGTTGGCTGCAGCAAGTTGACTGTGTTGAGTGGTTCTCCTTTATTGGTAATTAACTTAAGTTTTATTTCTGAATTCCATAACAAAGATTGCCACAAGTAGCAATTGGAGATACACGTATATTCTTACAAGAATTGCAAGAGGAATTGGAAAATGGAGCACAGCTTCTAAAATATGCTGTGAAATATGCCAGAATACTTGCAATGAAAATATGCTGTCAGAATATGACATTTTTGCATTTTCTCTCTTGTAAAGCCTAGATATGTTTTTGTCCAAGCTGAATCTTGTTGCTTGCATGGAGTCAGTCTGCAATGACACAGCAAGTGTATTAAGGTTTATTAATAAATGAGTAGTATGGGGTGCAAGCTAATTCTCTCTGCAAGCAGACACCATCAGAAAACCACAACCTTTGTGGTTAATTTAGTGTACTCTCCAAGTAGGGATTCAGTCCTGTTCCTCCTAGAACAAACTAGAGAAAAATGCAAAGCAAAACATAGTTTGTCTTTCTTTTATTAACCGCTGACACTCATGGGAATTGCTAGTTGCTTGTTCATTAATAAGTTTTAATAAGATTTACTGTGTCATGCAAATCGATACATAGTCTTTTCCTGCCAAATCTTTCATTAAAACCTATATCTGCAAAGACATTCTATTCTTTATGTTGATACACTGTTACTTGAAAAAGAAGGTAGCCATCATACTATAATACTGATTTTCATGTTTTGTTCTGTTCCTTCGAGTTTGTATAACTGAACGATGCAGAATGCTAAAGACTCAAGGTTAAGGATAAGCACTTCTTTTTGATATTTTTCAGCTCAAGTCCTAATGATATTCCTTGGAAATAGATCAGGTTGGTTTCAGTGTATCTCACTTTGGTTTGCATATTTAACTGTTTATTTGTATTGTCTATTGTATTATTGTGCATTAATATCCTCTCATTGGAATTAAAATTTGCTTTCTGAACTATAGTACAAGGATGTCCATTCTGGTAGCTCTAATACCATACCTTTGAACATAGTTTATTGGAATCTCCTCCTGTGGGCACATCAAGTGCTCTGGTACTTGTATATTATTTACATTTCAAAGTCTAAACCTCAATACTAAGAAATTGAAAAAAAAAAAACCAGAATGTTTGTCTTCTGTGGTACAGTGACTTAACTCTTACTAAACCTTGCTCACTGGCCTTCAACAGCTCCGGGCCATAGTTGTTGTGATGGTAGTGAATCTTATCTCTCCCACTGTCAAACTATACAAAGCACAGACTAGGGCTGATTAAGAAAACGGTGAGTATCTGTTCATATCTAGAAGTTGTTTCTTTCTCAGTTCTAAGATGTAACCATCCTGGAATAAAGGATTCCTGTTTTGATTAATAACAAATTGTTTTGAATACAGAATGTGAGTTTAATACTCTGTATTTGGTAGTAAGATTATTGAAAAAAAAAACACGGGAGAGGTGGTTGCATTGAACTTAGCTTCTGACCTAGGCTTCCTCAACAGCATTAAGTTGACTCCTCATCCTGATAAACCCCTTTTATTTAGTTTACAGTGAATTCCTCTCCAGCAAAGTCCTTGCCAACAGTCTTTCAAGATATTCCACAATTACAGACTTCTATCAGGCTTGGAAAGTTGCCAGGCTGATATCTTTCAGACGCCACAGTGTAGTAGACAATACTTGGCAAGAATGCAGAAACATCTTCACCCAAA